GCCGCATCCGGCCCCCGGGCCTTAGGTTGCCTACCCCTGCTGTAGCACCTTGTTGTGGTTGTTGTTGTGTGCCTTCAAGTGGTTTCGACTTCCAGCAGCCCTAAGGCAAACCTATCAAGGGGTTTTCTCATCTGGATTTGTTCTGCGGGCGCTTACTTTTGCCTTCCTCTGAGGTTGAGAGAATGTGACTTGCCCGAGGTCCATGGCCAATGTAGAGACCTTGTGTAATGCCCTCTCTTTACCTAACTCAATGAACCCACTTCATGGATGCAACCCGAAAGAGTTTATTGAAAAGATTTGTCCATCAAGTTGAGGGAACTCTTGCAAAATCTCACCAAGGATAGCCTCCGCTTTTGCAGAGAATCTGGAGATTCTTCCCGGTTCATCACTGTGGTAACCAACTCCAAATGCCCCCTTTTCATTCCTCCACCTCCCCGGTGCCTTCTTTACACAGCCAACTGTTCAGAAGTCTCTTAGGCTAAAGAGGAGATTCCCCTGATCTGATTACTTTAACCGAGCCTGCAAATTCTCCCTTCGCTCCTTTCATTGTCCTCTCTTCAACTAGAACTAATGTATGTACATCTGGGAAGGACTGAGCATCTCTCCTTATCTTTCCTCCCATGGCCTTATCCTTTGAGTCGTCTCTTCTAACTTCTGCTTTGAACAGAAATGGAAGCAAGCGTTAATGGTCCCCTATAGAGTATGGCTCCGGTAGTCATGGGGGGGATACTATCCTAAGCGTGGGCTCAACCCTTGGGCCTTTGGAGCATTTGATACTACATAGGGTGTACTACACAAGGGTATAGTTGCTCTCGTGTGACCTCAAGTCATTTCTGATTTATGACAACCCATAGGCAAGCCTATTGCAATATTTTCTTGGCAGAATTTGTTCAGAGGGAGTTTTGCCAGTGCCTCCCCCAAGGCTGAGAAAGTGTTACTTGCCTAAGGTCACCCAGTGGGTTTCCATGGCTGAGCAGGGATTCAAACCCTGGTCTTCAGAGTCATAGTCCAAGACTCAAACCCCTACACCATAGTGGCATGGTTTTTATTACATAGAGGGTATATTTGCACAGTTATATCACTATTGTGCCAGTCATGGTTTCATCTTACAGAAACCTGGGATTTGTAATTTGGGGAGCTACTTAGAATTCTCTATGGGCAGATGCTAGAGCTCCCCACCAGAGAACTCAAAAGTATCTCAAGAAGTTATAGGGCCCACAGTTCTATGGGCTGGAGCCATGACACTTAAAGTGATGCAGTGTGGACTGGACCACAGAGCAAATCTCCAAATTGTGCAGAGGCAAGGGCACATCCTAGTCTTCAAAGATGCAAAGATAAGTCAACCTCATGTATGAGTTGAAGGGAGGTTTGGGGACCAAAATTATGGATTTTGATATGACCCATGCATAAGTTGAGGGTATAACTTAGAGGCATGTAACAAAGGTTCTAAAGTATAAAGCAAAAGAAAACAATGCCAAAAGATGTACAAAATTCCAGCAGGCATAACTGTTTGTGCTCATATTGAATGGATGAGAGAACAGAGTGGGATCAATGCTTCCAGGACAGATAATATTTTTGCCTTTCACCAGAGGATGGTTCCATATATATATATATATATAGAGAGAGAGAGAGAGAGAGAGAGAGAGTTAACATATAGTGCTTACATTGACCAGTGAATAAAATCAACTCAGGTTTTTTTGGGGTCAACTTTTTGACTAAAATTTCTAGACTGATACATGTGTGTATACAGTAGATCTTTTCATAGGAACATGGAGAACCCTACGAATTCCTTTCCAAACTTCATACCAATGGCAATGCTGCCAATGAACTCTGGGATCTAAGTCTTGTTTCTTAGCCGCCCCCCTCCACCCCCTTACGAAAGGAGAGCTCCCTGCCTTTAAGACAAGAAGAAATGA